GTGCTTCTATGTTTACCAGGGTTATATCATCTTGTTGGATTGATCACTTTAGTATTATATAGTGACCTTTGTTGTCTCTTGTGATGGCCTTTATTTTGAAGTCTATTTTGTTGGTTATGAGTATTGTTACTCCAGCTTTTTTTTTTCTTTTTCGTTTCCTTGGAAAACTTTTTTTCATCCTTTCACTCTCATCCTGTGTGTGTCTTTTGCTCTGAGTTGGGTCTCTTGTAGACAGCATATAGTTGGGTCATGTTTTTGTATTCATTCGGCTATTCTATACCTTTTAATTGGAGCATTTAATTCCTTTACATTTAGGGTTATTATTGATAGGTACTTATTACAATTTTAATTTTGTATGTATCTCTTCTCATTACAGCAGTCCCTTTAGCATTTCTTGCAGTGATGTTTTGGTGGTGATAAACTCTGTTAGTCTTTTTTTTTGTCTGGGAAGTTCTTTATTTCACCAGGTATTTTGAATGATAGCCTTGCTGGATATAGTAATCTTGGTCTCAGATCCTTGCTTTCCATTACCTTGAGTACTTCATGCCATTCTCTTCTGGCCTACATAGTTTCTGATGAGAAATCAGGGTCAGCCTTATGGGAGCTCCTTTGTAGGTAACAGTTTGCTTTTCTCTTGCTTCCTTTAAGATTCTTTTTGTTTCTTTTTTGGCATTTTAATTATGATGTGTCTGGGGGTGGGCCTATTTGGGTTCTTCTTGCTTGGGACTCTGTGCCTCCTGGACTTGTGTGACTTTTTCCTTTACTATGTTAGGAAGTTTTCTGCCATTATTTTGTCAAACACATTTTCTATCCCCTTTTCCCTTTCTGCCTCTTCTGGCACATCTGCTATTCTAATATTGTTACATTTCATGTTATCCCACAGCTCCCGTAAGCTGTCCTCCTGTTTTTTATTGTTTTATGGTTCTCTGATTTTTTTCAAACCTATCTTCTAATTCACTGATTCAATCTTCAGCTCCCCCTAATCTGCTGTGTATTTCTTCCAATGTGTTCTTTATTTGTGCTATGTCATGCTTTATATGTTTCTATAGTTATTATATCTTTCTCATGCTGTTGAGCATCTTTACCATTATTTTTCTGAACTCTATATCAGATAAATTTCTTATCTCCATTTTATTTATATCTTCTTCTGGAGAATTCTCTAGTTCTTTCATTTGTGGGTTGTTTCATTGTCTCCTAATATTGGCTGCCTGTTTGGGTTTGTGACTATGTATTAGGTAGATCTGCTACAACTCTCAATCTCTGGTGCAGGACAGTGTCAAACACTGTTTCTGATTAATTAGATCAGGCAGAGACTTAAATTCTCCAGAGATTGCTTCTGCCTACAGACTGATGGGATTCTGTCTTGAATTGCCCTCAGGCCATTGTCTTCAGCTGTAGCCAGAGTTTTTTTCAACAGTGTGGGGCAATTGCTTCTGCCTGGAAGCTGTTATTCTCAGTCTCTTAATGATATCAGAAACTCCACACAGTGAGGCAAGGTGTTTTCCAATAGGGTGGGTCAGCTGTCTTCCTCCCAGGCAAAGCTGACTGTGTAGCAATTGTCTGCATGAGAAAGATGACCTCCGCAGTGTGAGGGAATGACTCAGCACAGCAAACCAGGATGTCTGCTTTCCAAACTCTAATCTCAGAGTTCCCTATCCTGGCTTCTGCTCTCACAACTCCAGTCCACTCTGCTCTCCCTTGCTGGAACACAAGATGAATGGCTGCACAGGGAATTTTGTGCATTGGCCCTTTAAGAGGGTGCCTGCATTTCCAGACATCTCACCCAGGCAGACAGCAACCCTTCTGCTTTTCACAGCCAGATTTTATGTGGGCACCTCTCTCAGTTCTGGTGCTCTCTGCTGGGGGCCCAGCTTGGGGATTAGACCCCAGGGTTCTCAGTGGCAATGCTCCACAGCTGAGATATCTCTCCGGAACGTCAGTTGTTATCTGTGGGAGCCCAGCCAGCCCTTTCTTGCCTCTGCCCTTCCTACCAGTCTCTATGCAGTCACCACTTTCCATCCTCAGTTATCAGGTTTCTCTCCAGCAAGTCTTCCATTGATTATTCAGGAAGTTTTTCTGTATTTTAGTTGTAATTCCAGTTTGTTTCTGGGAGCATGTCTATACAGCATCCACTTACTCCACCGCCATTTTTAATTCCCACAATATCTTTTATTTATCTTATTGTCAGACTCTGTTGTGGATGAATTGTGCATCCCAAAGATATGTTGAAGTCCTAAATCCCTGGTAACTGCTAATGTGACCTAATTTGAAATAGGGTCTTTATAGATGTAATCAAGTTAAGATGAAGTCAGCCCTAGTTGGTTTGGCTCAGTGGATAGAGTGTCAGCCTATGGACTGAAGGGTCCCAGTTCGATTCCAGTCTAGGGCACATGCCCAGGTTACAGTTGTGATCCCCAATTGGGGGGGGGCATTCAGGAGACAGCCAATCAATGATTCTCTCTCATCATTGATATTTCTATCTCTCTCTCCCTCTCCCTCTATGAAATCAATAAAAACATAGTTAAGAAGAAATCATACTGGACTAGGCTGGGCCCTAATCTAATGACTGGTGTCCTTATAACATGAGGGAAATTTGGACACTGATTTACAGGGAAAAGACCTTGTGAAAATGAAGGCAGAGATTTCAGTGATGCATCTATAAGCCAAGGAATTTCAAGTACTGTTAATAATCACCAGAACCCAGAAGAGAGGCCTGGAACAGATTCTCCCTCAGAACCTCCAGAAGGACCAACCCTGATTTTAGACTTCTGTTCTCCATAACTGGGAGAGAATAAACTTCCCAGTTTGTGGTAATTTGTTATGGCAGACCTAGGAATGAATACACTTCCCCCATTGGAACATCAGCTTCACAAGGGCAGAAATTGTTTGTTCACTGCTATAACTCTAGCCCCTAAAACAATGCTGGAATGTAGTAGGCACTCCATAAATATTGGTTGAATGAATTAGTAAGCTTTGGATACAGAGAGTGAAGTCTATTCCTGGTCTATCCCCCTGATCCCAGTCCCAGCTCCATCCCCCAAGGAGGCCCATGTTTGGATCTGGCCTGCTAAGAGACACTGCAAGCCTTTATTCATCTAACCAAATTTGATTGAGCACCTATTATGTGTAAATTCATTTCTTCCTTCCTTCATCCAAGATATTTACAAATTGAAAACCCACTGTTCATCAATTAGTTCCAGTTTCCATTCTTTTCCAGGATGGGGAGCAAGAGAGAGGCTCCAGGCCTTCTAAATACACATGCCTCTTGATCTGGTAATGTTTGTGTGGGGGGGGGTTGGGGGGGAGATGGGGGCTAGAAACCAGAAAGGCCACAGCCTGAGAATACAAAGAAAAAGAAGTTCAGACGACCTTTAGCACCTCTGTTTTCCTATCTTTTTAAAAGTCATTTGCTTTTTTAAAAAAAATTGATTTTTAGAGAAAGAGAGAGTGAGAGAAACATCAGTGTGAGAAACATTGATCGGTTGCCTCCCACACGCACCTTGACCAGGATCAAATCCACAACCTGGGTATGTGCTCTGAACCTTTTAGTGTATAGGACAACACTCCAACCAACTTAGCCACACTGGCCAGGGCAAAGCATTGGCTTATTTTAAAACTTCATTTTTAATATATTTTATTTTGTATAGAGAGGGGGGGAGAGGGATAGAGAGTTAGAAACATTGATGGGAGAGAAACATCAATCAGCTGCCTCCTGCACACCCCCTACTGGGGATGTGCCCGCAACCAAGGTACATGCCCTTGACTGGAATCGAACCTGGGACCCTTCAGTCTGCAGGCTGACGCTCTATCCACTGAGCCTAACCAGGTAGGGCAAAACTTCATTTTTAGATAGGTAACATGGTCACATATGAATATATGTAGATACACACACACAGCAAAAGTTTCCATTTCCATCCTCCAACTATCCTGCCTCTTCTCTATCACCAGAGTAGAGAACCACCTTGAGTATTTTTTTGCCCATTTCCCTGAAGTTTCTTCATGCAAATAAAAGCAAACATGAGTATATATTTTCAATGAACCTATTTCACGCTAATGTTTTGTATATACTGTTGTGTACCCTGCTTTTTTCTCTTAAGAATAAAATACACTTTGGAGACCATTCCACACCAGTATATGAAGATCTTTCTTTTTTTATAGCTGCATAGGTTTTCATTGCTTGGATGTACTATAATTTATTTAACCACTCCCCTATTCATGGACATTTGTTTTCTACCCTTTGCTGTGTGTTATAGATTAGATTCCCAGAAGGAATCTGCCAGGTCAAAATGGGGATGTTAACTTTGACCTTTTCAGGTTATGATAAATAATGCATATCACTAAGCATAGCAAGAAACACTTATGGAGACTGAGGTGAGTTGCTCTATCCTGCACTTGACCCAAATTATCTCATGTAATCCAAGTGTTGGGGTTGTTACAACCCATTTTTATTGCCCTCGGTCATACCAAGCCAGGAGGGAGGAGCACCAGGGTCTGTCTGCTGGCTAGTGTGTAAGGAGGTGGGTGACAACAATGCCTCTGGGTCAGGTCCCTCCTCTACCACTTGTTAGCTCCCGGAGTTACTATGAGCAGATGTCTGCATCTCTTTGAGGCTCAGTTTCTGCCTCTGTGCAAAGGGGATATTGCATGTGTAAGTAAGTGAAGAACCAAGGACCCAAAGGAGTGATCAAAGCACATGTAAGTGGGCACATGAAGAGCAACATGTGGGAAAAGGGCCAAGCTGGCCCACATGGTGCCTTTGTGCCAATTGGAAAAGGAAGCCCACGTCACAGATATTTTACTTCCCCTTGCAGAAAAGTATTAGAAGGAACATGCAAACTTGGGTGCAATCTACATAACTATAAAGGCAGCTTTTTCTGAAAACAGAAATGAATGAAAGGAGTGGGTGGGACTCCCAGGGGAGCACACAGAATCAGCCCTGCTTCCACTCTGCCCAACCCTTTCCCACCCAGCACAGGGCCCAATACCCCAAGGTTCAATACTTGCATGCGGAGCCCCTGGATCGTGTTCTGGACGCAGTGCCCAGCTGACCCCGCCACCTGTGGGTGGGATCAGGTGATGAGGGTGGGTCCCAGGGGACCAGCCTTTCCCCTCATCCTGTTTCCCTGCTCTCCAGGCTTGGACCGTACCTTGACCAGCATGGCCGTCTTCATGAGGTGATGGCCACTAATTCCCTGGTCAAAGCAAACACTTCTATCACGGAGCATAACCTGGGGTGGGGGGCGAAAACGAAGGGATTGACAGGCATGCGCAAAGATCTAGGAACGGTTTAAGGAACCACAAACTTCCCACAAGTCCACTGTCTGGGTAAATCTGTCCCTACACCTCCTCACCGCCTGTCCTCACCCTGAAAAGCACTGAGTTGCGTTTAATAAGGACCTGCTGCCTCACCACCGCCTCAATGCAGCTGGGGTCGGCCAGCACCACGCCCAGGTCCACCTGGCTCAGCAGCTGGAAGAGGTTGCCTGCTCGGGGCATAGAAGGGTTTAAGGCCTAGAACCAGACCCGTCCCAGATGGTGCCCAGGTCCCAGCCACCCCGCCCCCGCCACTCCGACTCCACTCAGGCCCTGCCCACAGACCTGGCTCCAGCTCATTCTTGATCGAGTGGCCCCGGGAGGTCAGGAAGATGGAGAAGCTGTAGCTGGTGCCCTTATCCAGGAAGATGCGCTCCGGCAGCTGGTACTCAGTCTTGACGTCGTAGATCTTTTTGTAGTTGGCCATGTCAATGTGCACGTTACCCGCACTCTTCCCGTTGCTCACCAGGTAGTAGTAGTAGTCCTGGAGCATGGGAGGCAGGGAAAGGCAGCACCCGGAGTGAGGAGCCGGACAGGGCGGGGCGGAGTGGGAGGTGGGGTCGCCCCTCCTCCAACTTGCAACCCTCTCCACGCACCTGGTCCTGTTTCTTGTTCTTCCACCAACGCCAGGTGGAGTCGTGCACGGGGTCGGCATAAGGCTGCAGAGACCGCCAGCACCGTGAGGGGGCGGAGCGGAACGTCCACAGGCAGACGACATTCCCAGACCTCTGCCCAGCCTCAGTCCCAGCTCCTAACCCAAAGCAAAATATAACCTGGCCCGCCCTGCATCCAGCCCCACGGCCAGAGCCGGAACGCCATCTCCCAGTCCCCGCTTAGCCTCAGATACCAGGCTGCTCCGCTCTGTTCCACCCTCCGCGGCCGTTCTTCCAGCTCCACAGACCTGGCCTTCTGGGCCTCCGCAGTTCCTCTCAAAGCCCCGGCGGGGACAGCCCCTGCCCCAGGCGCCCACCTTGTGGTATTTGGAGTGCAGCCAGAGCAGGTAGTAGACGAGGCCCTGATAGACAGCGAGTGAGTTCTCGGTGTGGAAGCCCGACGGCTCCAGGACGTGCGGCGGCTGCGCCCGGTAGAGCTCCTGGCGCGTGTAGATCTTCTGGTCGGGCAGGTCCCGCAGGCGCATCACCGTGAAGGGGCAGAAGTTGGTGAAGGAGAGTTTCAGGTGACTCCTGGGCGGTGGTAGTGGGGGATGGCCGCTTACTTTTCTGCGCCCTGCGCCCCAAGAGCCTGTTTCCCACCCCTGCGCTGCTGACTCCCCAAATCCAATCCAGTCCTGCTCTTCCTCAGCCTCAGACCAGAGTCTTGGATCTCCTCCTAGCTAGACTCTCCTCCCCTTCCTAAGAGTCCTTCCACCTCCCCTTCTCCACCCCGCCCATCCCCAGGCTCCTCCGCAGGTGACCAGAGGATTATTATTAAACAGTAAAATCTGACCAGGCAGCCCCTCCCCTTAATCCCAGCATAGCTTTCCAGGGCCCTCAAGATAAAGTTCCTCCCTATGGCCACTGGCTCACCTTGTCTGCCCTGCCACCACCACTGCACTCTATCTGTACTACACTTTCAGTTCTCAAAAACCCAGGCTCCTTTCCTTCTCAGGGTCTTTGAACATGATTCCCCCTGTTTGGAACAACATCCTCCATCTTATTATCTGGCCAATCCTTCCTCACAGCTCATGTACATCTTTCTCTTTGAAGCTCTCCCTGGTGCTCCCTCCCTGACTGGGTTAAATGCCTTCTTTGAACTTCCATTCACCCCGACCTCGCACATCATAGCCCTAAGGTTGTTAGTTGGGGATGGTTTGGTCTCCCTCCAACCCCCCATGGAATGGGAGCTTTGTGTGGGAAGTGTTTGGGGCTCTCTGACTACTGCTGGTCCATCCAGTGTCTTCTCACTTTTGCTGCTGCAAGGAGTAGGGGTCACTGAGCTGCTGGTGCATCAGAAGTTGCTCCACAGGCACAAGCCTCTTGATGAGCTGGCCCTGCTGGTTGTTTACAAGGTACACCAGCTGCAGTGGGAAGGCAGGGCCAGATAAGCTGGTGTCAGCCACCCTTCTGTCCCCCCCACGTCTCCCATAGCCCCTGACTGGCACCTGGTACAGATTGCTGTCTTCATAGAAGAGGGTGACCATGGTCTCATGGGAAGCATAGAGAGAGGACTGCTGCATCACCTGGAGGCTGATGTACACATTCCAGCCCTTGGATGGGAACAACTTGTACACGTGATAGCTGCCCTCCACGAGGTACCAGATCTGGAGGTGCAACAGCTGTGTGTGTGAGGGCCATGGGACCTCTGACCCCCCTCTTCCTCTGCCAAGTGTGATGGCCCCATTCCTTGAGGGGTGAGGCTTGGGAGTTCACCTCCAGCTGGAATCAGGTGAGCTCACACCCCTTCTTTCTGTAGTGCCACCTCTCTACTTCCCAGAACCCACCATTTCTGCCTCCAGCTCCCACTCACCATGATTTGCTCAGTGTTTGTCTGCTGATGTAAGCGTTCCTGATACATATACTCTCTAATGAATGGGCTTCCTGGGGCTGAGCTTTCCTTTTTTCTTCTCATTCTCCAGGGTTTCAATTTCGCCCTTGGGCACCATCGGGAAGTTGGTGTAAGACTGTCCCTAGGATCATCAGCCTTAATTTCCCATCTCTGCACTGATGCCCAGCTGCCATGTCCCCAGTACATTTGACTCTGGATCTCACCTCCTCCTGAACCTCAGCTTCCAGGATGTCCCCCGTCTATGTGGCCTCCACCGTGAGGCCATTCTTGACACACACACACCCTGACCAGGTCGGGCCCCTTCTCTGAACATCCCTAGGTGATTTCCCCTGCTGCAGCCTGACCACTCTCAACTGTCACTGTCTGGGAATGACTCTGTCTTCCCCAACTGGCCTGACACCCTGTGAGGGCAGGGCCCAGGGCTGACTCAGTTGCCACTGTGCCCCAGCACTGGGCCAGGCCTCCAGTAAGTGCTGCATGTTTATGAAAGGAACACGTGCTTGATGAAATAAAAGAGGGCACCCTCAGGAAATCAGATCATATAAGTCTGAGCACAGGTCTCTCACTCTGCTGAGGAACTTTGGAAGACACTTAGCCTCTTTGAGCTCCAGTGTTCTCAGCTGTAAACAGAGCTTCTGCTGCCCTTCCCCACAGTCCCTGAGGGTGTTCCTTCCCCTTGGCCCCTTTACCCTGGCAGGGGGAGAAGGGAGACTTCTGGGCTTTGGGGTGGACAGAGAGGAAGTGGGGAGAGGAGTAGGGCAGCCCACCTCCTCAGTCTCAGTGACAATAGCTATGTCTCCATGGAACGAGTTGACCATGTACTTGATGGATAGCTCCTTGGGGAAGTCCGCCAGGTAGATGAAGTTTTCAGTGTCATAACTGCAGGGGTAGAGATGGAAGCTAGGAGCACTCAGGCAAGGCCCCTGGAAGATATGTTTCCCCCAAACCAAGCTGAACAAGAGCTGTTTTCTCACTTCTCCACTAGCTTTGTGAGAACATGAAAAGGAAACCTGTGATTCTAGCTTCTGCCCCTGATTCCAAACCCTCTGGGGGACCTTTCCATCTGTAAACAGGAGGATTTGGTCAACCTGGCATGTTGCCAACCGCCCATGGAGTTGGCTCAGGAGCTCCTAGGTTCCTGAGGGGTGAAAAGTGCCCTAACCTTCCCCAGACAATTCTTTCTATTGCTCACATAGGTTGGGACCTCACATGAGGGCTCCCCTAGTTCCCCCCATTCTAGCCCTCGCCACCCCAGCCTGTGTTTTCCCCACTACAGTCCTCATAACTTTGGGACTTGGGCAAACTGAAAACTTGGTGACTTTAGAAAGGACCCCACCCCCCACCCCTCATGGGGCGGGGGAAGCAGAATATGCCCAGCCCCCTACCTCTGCAGGAGGAAGTTACCCCAGATGAACAGCAGATTATTAAATGAGTTGTAGGACATGCCCTTGGGCACCATCGGGAAGCTGGTGTAAGACTCTGTCCCTAGGATCATCAGGAACTCCAGGCCTCGAGCTGGCGGGGGCAGAGGCAGAGTGGACACAGTAGTGAGGCAGGATCCCTCCTGGCTCCCACTCACCTTTGAGGCCCCCTCTACCTTCCCCTCCTACCATCAGGAATGAATTCCGGGATGGTGTAGAGAATGGACAGGTAATCATTGACTGCAGGTGAAGAGAACACAGCAAAATCTCCTGAGGCTTTGAGCTTTCAAAAACCTGAAACTAGGCAAGTCACCAGCTTCCCAATTCCTCCCAAAAACCCTGCAATGGCTTCCCCTTCGGGCCTCTTGGCCCTTACTGTTTCTTTACATGGATTCTAAAAAGGCACCACCTCTGAGAAGATACATCCAGTTAGGGCACAGGACTTGCCTCCTGTAGCTCCTTGACGGGGGAGTGCAGGGCACAGCCTATTCAACTGCACATGGCACCCTATTCTCAGTTCAGGTAAAATAAAACCTCCTTACTGTGAGCCACAGGCCCTTCCTTATCTGGCTTCTGCTCCAGTCTTCATCACCCTCCTTTCTCTTTCCTGCTCTGTTCTAGTCACATTGACTTTCTCTCAGTTCCTCCAACCCACCAAGCCTGTTCGCCACCACCACCCCTTACCTAGGAGTGACACGAGCAACATTTCCCTCCCATTGTCTGCTGTGCGCTCAAGCCCCCCACCCATAGTACCCCAATTACCCAGGTTGTAGCCGACCATCTGGAAATACTTCCTGGCAGCAGTGTCTTCAATCTCCACCAGCAGCAGTAGGTTGTAGTTAATCTCAGTGTATACAGCCCAGGTTATGGAGCAGATGGCAACTGGAAGGGAAGGGGAGGTCCAGAGCAGCCCCGAGCCCAGCCCTCTCCATCACCTCCTCCCTCTCTGAGACTGCCACCCCATCTCATCCCTGTAAACTCTTCACCTCTCCCCATGACACTGCCCGTCCTTTTCCTTCCTTGTGACCTCTCCCACCCTTTCCTGCTCTCCATGCCCTAGATCCCCACACCCACCCACGGCAGACTCATTTGGGACATGGGTACCTTGTATCCTTTTGCACACGGACTGCTGCCTGGGCAGCATCTGGAAGGAAACAAGGCCATCTGCGGAGCAGGACAGTTCCATGTTCAGGCCCTTCCCATTCTCAGCCCAACAGGCATCCCACCACAGTAGAATGCCGGTGCCCCCACCCACTTCCTCAGGCCTACGGATTTCAGGGGACAGGTCTTACCCCCTGACCTTTCAGCCACTCACACCTGGCCTATCAGAGTATGTCTGTCTCTGGTCACAGTAATTGGTTCAGGTCCAGGCACATGACTAAGAATCAGCCAATCAGAGTGCACCCTTAGGAGTAATGAGGAAGAGGCTGCTCTCATTCTCCTGGGTGACTCACGCCGGTGGGAGAAGATCCTCGAGTTCCTGGGAGCCCTCCTTAACCCCCACAAGAGGAGCATCTACCTGAAGATGAAGCTAAATCACAGGGCTCATAATAGTAATCCCTTTCCTAGCACTCACCATGTCCCTAGCACTATTTTAAGACCTTTATGGATGCCAACATATATTTAATCTTTATATCAACACAGTGAAGCAAGTACTAGTAGTATTATTGGCCCAATTTTTCTGATTAAATGAGACCAAAAAGAGAGGATAAGTCACCTGTCCATACCACAGGTGACTTGGGTTGGGAGTGTTGAAGCAGTTTCTCTCTAGACCTGTGCCATAATTACTATACTATACTATCTTGCCAAGAGACAGAGTCTTGACAATATACCCTATGAGCCCCTGGATCCAGCCATGCCTGAAGTTGGCACTTTGTCTTTTCACTTATAAGTCCACAAATTCTTTATGCCTAAATAATTTTTGAATTGAACTTATGCCTGTTGAAAACAAACAAATAATATAAGATACATAATACACCCCAGGCATTATCCCTACAAATGTCTAAGTCCTAGGACCAACCTCCAGCCTGGGACTTTGTTTGTTTTTGTTTATTCTCACCAGAGGATATTTTTCCATTGATTTTTAGAGAGTGGAAGCGAGGGAAAGAGAGACAAAGAGAGAAACATCGATGTAAGAGATACACATCAATTGGTTGGCTCCCACACACGCCCATACCGGGGCCAGGGATCGAGGTGCATGCCCTTGACTGGGAATCAAACTGGAGACCCCTCAGTCCTCGGGCTCACACTCTATCCACTGAGCCAAACTGGCTAGGCCATGGGACTCCTTCTGAAGGCACGTAGTGAAGGGTTAGAGCCCAAGGTCAGAATTCTTGGAGGTGAGAGGGAATGGAGGAGTTTCTTGGGCTGCCAGAGGCCCCCACCCTTACCTGTAATAGTCCCAAAGTGGACATAACCTTCGTGCTTCCCAATGGTGAGGGCCATGATGTACTCGGAGCCATTTCCATGAAAATGCACGGGGCACAGCTTCTTGATGCACTCGTTGGGCAGTACACGAACCCAGCTCTCTGCAGTGGCCAGCATGGGGCCTCAGGCCCAGGTATTTGGACTTGGGCCCTGCATCCACATTTCCCTGGCCTTAATGAACCTGTTATCATCCTCTCTCCCTGGAGCAGCTGCTCAGTGTGTTGACTGAGGGACCTTTAGCATAGGGTTCCAGCTGCCTTTGAGAAAATCCTCCTGACTCACATTCTGTCCCTGAGGTTCCGATTGGGCTTGACCCCACCCTTGCATTCCCCTGGCCAGAGCCATTGATTCTGAGCTGGGCTTGTGACCAAGCGGGACAAATCAGAGACAGTCTGAGCCTGCAACCACTAACAAAAAGATGCTCTTTCCTGGGGCCCCTGAGGGTATAAAAGTCTGCAGTTGCTGGGAGTCACCATGGCCATCACAAGAGAAGCCTGTTTAATAGCTACAGTGAGTCCCTAGATCCAACTATGCCTGAAACCAACATGTTCCTGGTTTGTTTTGTATTTTAGCTATCTAAGCTGAGAAAACACCCCCTTTTTTTTTACTTGAGCCTATTTTAATTTGGTTCCTCCCACTGGCCAAGTGTCGTAAGTAAGAAAGGAAGAAAAATGAGCTGTTGAGAACATGCATTAACTAATGAAATATAGGTGACACCAAGTTCCTGTGACCCTGTAAGTCCAAGTGACCCTAAGTCCAAATGACATCTCTCATTTGAATTGGGGGGAAAACCTAGAAGAACTAAGTGTTCCCATTTAAAACAGGGGTGGAGGATGTCCAGCCCTTGGGCCTCTGAAATCATTTGATCTGGCCCTGCAACAGCATTAGGGGTGAGTTAATTGAATGTTTGACCAAATATAGCAGGCTAATTTTTTAAATACTGGTATATATTTTAAAATATATTTTTATTGATTTCAGAGAGGAAGGGAGAGGGAGAAAGAGAGACATCAATGATGAGAGGGAATCATTGATTAGCTGCCTCCTGCACGCCCCCTACTGGGGATCGAGCCTGCAACCCACACACGTGCCCTTGACTGGAATTGAACCCGAGACCCTTCAGTCTGCAGGCTGACGCTCTATCCACTGAGTCAAACTAACTAGAGCAGCAAGCTAATTTTGAAGTTGATAATTTAGTATGGCATGCAAATGATGTTATAAATATCCAAATGGCCCTTGGCAGAAAAAGTTTCCTGCCCCTGATTTAAAAAATGAGGCTGAGCCAAGTCTTTCCTTTTTCTCTCTTCATGACTTTGCCCATCTCTGTTTCTCTCTCTCTCTCTCTCTCTGATCCCTATGCCTCTCCCCATCCCCACACCCAATTCCTCTCTTAGTATGCCTTTCTCAGTATCTCTCTCTATCTCTCTCTCTCTCTCTCTCTCTCTCTCTCTCCCCTCCCTTCCTTCACTCTCAACCTCCCGCAGCTGACTCACACTTCCTGGGAAGGTCTGGATGAAGGCCCCACCCCAGCATAGAGAGAGTGGGAAAATGCCCTCCCGGATGGGCAGGGTGATTCAGGACCTTGGAGAGTCCCTCCAACTCTCCCTCCTCCCCCACTGGCAATCCCAGCCCCAGGTGCCACGGTGGATGGGTTCATTAAGGCAGCCCCTGGGACTCCAACAGGCAGTTCCCTTGTCCAGACCCCTAGGCACATGGCCCAGCCACAATCTCCTCACCGCTGCCTTGGTTGCTCTCGTGGAGTATGGTATAGTTGCCTGTAAAATAGTAGACGAGCTGGTTCTGCCGAATAAAAAGTGTGCTCTCTGTGGCGATGGCATCGTAGATGGTGGCGGTGAAGTTACCCTGGGGGCAGTAGAAGGAGCCTACCCAGCAACTGTCAATGCTCAACTGCAGAGGAGTACAGCCAGTGGTGAGCACGTGGCCTTTGCCTCGGCCCCCACATCCTGCCTTGAGGGGAGGGTCCTGCTCTGACAACTACTCCAGATGAACACATGCAGCTGCCTGCTCATTCTGCAGCAGCACCTTAGTGACCAAACTTCTTCAACATGGACAAGGGAAGGAGGTGACCAGGCAGGAGCCTGGAGCTTTGTGTGTTCCCTAAATTTAAACAGCACACAGAATATTCAATGGCCCCTGAGTGTTGTACCCACGTAGACCCAAAAGATCCAATGCTTGGCCCAAGGCACATACTTAATAATCCTATTCTAACTTGGAACACAATTGACTGTCAGGCTGACACTAACTTACTGACTGATCACTAACACCGGCAATATCCCCAACAGTGGGAAAGCACCAGCAATGCAGGGTTCTTGCCTATAAGATTGAATCTAAATTTAATCAAGCTTTTAGACTGGCAGTATGTTGTGTTATAGACTAACTAGAGGCCCAATGCATGAATTCGTGCATGGGTGAGGTCCCTCTGCCTGGCCGATCTGGGCCGGCTGGCTGGGAGGAGGGACCATGAGAGGTTGGCTGTGAGAGCACACTGACCACCAGGGGGCAGCTCCTGTATTGAGCATCTGCCCCCTTGGTGGTCAGTGCACATCATAGCTACGGGCCAGTCATCCAGTTGTAACAGTTATGTAGGCTTTTATATATAGAGATTGTGTTCCCATCCCTAATTTATATGTTCAATCCCTAACCTCTCGTGTGACTGTACTGTTTTTGGAGATAGGACCTTTAAGGAGATAATTAAGGTACAATGAGGTCATAAGGTGGGGCCCTAATCCTATTAGACTGGTGTTCTTATAAGAAGAGGAAGGCACACCAGGGAACTCTCTCCACTCATGCACACAGAGGAAAGACCAGGTGAGGACCCTTTCTGCAAACCATGGAGAGAGGTCTCACCAGAAACTAAATCTGCTGGCATCTTGATCTTGGACTTCTAGCCTCCACAACTGTGAGAACATAAATTCTGTTGTTTAAGCCACCTAGTCTGTGATACCTTATTATGGCAGCCTGAGCCAACAAATACACAGGGTCAGAGGAACAAGTGAATTGATTCTATGAAGAAGCAAGCAGCCAAATTCTATAGGATAAAAAGGCCTGGTTTATTAAATTGCCTGATAAAAGGGGGCTGGTAGCAGACAGGGTTGGGGAGCAGACTTATAGGTGAGAAGGGCTTTGAGAGACTTAACAACCAAATGCAGTGTATTGATCCTGATTCAAACAAAGAAACTTTAAAAGACATTTTTAGATAATTGGGGAAAATTGACTATATTTCCCAGCCTCCCTTGCAGTTGTGTTAGATAGGAAAGGGTCTCAAGATCTGGTTCTTGCTATTCTTGCTAAATGTTAAAATGTAGCACAGTATTTTGCAGACTAGCTGTATACAGGATGAGCTTGACAGGAACCTAACCAGATAAGTGTAGCCAACTGCTAAGAAGAAATCAACATATAATTGACCAAATCATGTATATAAGCAATGGCTAAAGCCTCCCTTCAGGGAGACAGAGCTTTGGATTTGTATCCTTTACGTGATGCAAGTTAATAAAACTACCTTGCTACAACCACGTCTTGTTCTTCAATAGAACATGTCAAGCAGAAAACCCCTTGAGTTAGTTAACAGTTAGGCACAGCCAACTGACTAATTCCTCACTAAAGGAATGTAAGTGGAAGTGAAATTTGCTTAAAAGAAAAATGCTTGCTCTCTGCTTCTGCTCTTTCCCTTTCCCATTGGCTGGAATATGGACAGGAGTAGGACCCATCTTCCATCATACAAATGAGATCAGCACCTGGGGCCTAGGGGTTGGTGAAAGGAACTATTTAAGCCAGGGGTCCTCAAACTACAGCCCGCGGGCCACATGCAAATACAAATATTGTATTTGTTCCCGTTTTGTTTTTTTACTTCAAAATAAGATATGTGCTGTGTGCATAGGAATTTGTTCATAGTTTTTTTTTAAACTATAGTCCGGCCCTCCAATGGTCTGAGGGACAGTGAACTGGCCTCCTGTTTAAAAAGTTTGAGGACACCTGATTTAAGCTATTCCCTTTCTGTCAGGGTCTCTTTGTAACAGCATCTAAACTTGACCATCACATTGATGAATCCCAGGGGCAGTCTGGGAGTGGTGAGGAAGAAGGAAAGAAGAGGAGACAGCAACATGGGAGAAATCCCCATGATTAGAGAATGAGAATAAATGGGCGTTTATTTTGGAGTGACAGAAATTTTTTAGAACTGGATAGAGATGGTGGTTGCACAATATGAATGTACTAAATGCCATTAAATTGTTCACTTTGAAGTGGTTAATTTTATGATTTCACCATGCTAAAAATTTTAAAATCCTCCTATATAATAAAGGGGTAATATGCAAATTGACCATCACTCCAACACACAAGATGGCCACCCCATGTGGACACAAGATGGCCAGCAGGGGAGGGCAGTTAAGGGGGACCAAGCCCTACAGGGAAGGGCAGTTGGAGAGGACCAGGTCTGCAGAGGAGGGCAGTTAGGGGTGACAGGGCTGGCAGGGGAGGGAAGTTGGGAGTGACTGGGCCTGCAGTGGGAGGGCAGTTAGGGGTGACCAGGCTGGCAAGGGAGGGCAGTTAGGGGTGACAAGGCCTGCAGTGGAGAACAGTTAGGGGTGACCAGGCCAGCAGGGGAGGGCAGTTAGGGGCAATCAGGCCAACAGGGGAGCAGTTAGGCATCAATCAGGCTGGCAGGGGAGTGGTTAGGGGGTTATCAGGCTGGCAGGCAGGCAAGCAGTTGGGAGCCAGCAGTCCTGGATTGTGAGAGGGATCCCAGATTGGAGAGGGTGCAGGCTGGACTGAGGGACACAACCCCCCACTCCATGCATGAATTTCGTGCACCAGGCCTCTAGTCCTATCTAATAAAAGACAAAAAGGGTAATTGACCGTACCTTCGCTACGCTTCCCATTGGCTAATCAGGGTGATATGCAAATTAACTGCCAAGAAAGATGGTGGTTAACCGCCAACAAAGATGGCGGTTAATTTGCATACGTAGGCGCCAAGCAATGGAGTGAAGCTGGCTGGCCCTGGGCAGGAGCGCTTGCCACGCGCTGGCCTCCATCATGCCCCCGGAGCCCGCGCATGGCGAGCGAGGAGCTAAGCCCCTCGCCTGCCGTGCTGGCCCCTCCCAGTGAAGAGTGAAGGCCTGGGTTCCAGGTGCCAGAGGAAAACTGGTGCCAGCAGCCAGGGGAAGGGGCCCCCGAGGGGCCCCAGACTGTGAGAGAGCACAGGCTGGGCTGAGGGACCCACCCAAGTGCACAAATTTTTGTGCACTGGGCCTCTAGTCCTATCTAATAATAGACAAACATGGTAATTAACTGTACCTTTGACACGCTTCCCATTGGCTAATCAGGGCAATATGCAAATTAACTGCCAACCAAGATGGCGGCCGG